CCAAAGACAGGTGACATACTATAACACGGACAGTTACTTGTTTGCCTCCTATAATCTGTTTGATTTCCTATATTTTCCCTTTTATATTACCTGCAAACAACTAGGCTTCAAGTCTTCTGATACACTCTTTATTATCATCACATGATATACCTTCATCATATCACTTTTCATACTATTATTTTTTTTAAAGATCTATCTATTTGAAAGGCAGAGTTACAAAGAAAGGAGAGAGAGACAGAGAAAGAAAGAGAGGAAGGGGAAGGGGGTAGAGAGGGGAAAGATAACTTTTATCTGTTGGTTTACTCCTCAAAGGGCCACTTTGGCCAGGGCTGGGCCAGGTCAGGCCAAAACTAGGAACTTCATTTGGGTCTCCTTTATGGATGCAAGGGCCCAAGCACTTGGACCATCTTCTGTGTTTTTTTCAGAGGCATTAGCAAGGAGCTGAATAGAAAGTGGAACAGCCAGGACTTGGAATGATGTCTGCATGGGATGTCGGTGTTGCAGGCGGTGGCTTAACCACTATGCAACAAAGCCGGCCCCTTACACTGTTTATAACATATCTGCCTTTCTTATCATACATGAGTTCCTCAAGGTCAGAGACCATGTCTTATCTTTATTTCTCTAGTGTTTGGAATATTGCCTGGTACGTAGTAGGCAACCAGAAAATTCTTGACAGATGAACAAATGTAGAAAGTTTATTTCAGTGCTGGAAAATTGTAGATGTTTGTGGACAAAGGTAGAACTAATCACTATTACACAAAGCAAAATATTTGAATATGAAAGTCTTTAATTCAAATCTTGGCTCAGTTATTTGGTTCAATAATCATGTTTAAGCCAGTCTTATTTCTAGCAAATAATATTTTAATAGGTCAGTGAAAATGATTAAGAGGAGGAGGCATATGAGGATCTACTCAGTATTCCACAGAGTGGATTAAAAATGAAATATATATTTTTTTCTTAAATAACTACCTGAACAAAAATAATACTCAAGTAACTCATCTTTTTTTTCTTCTTCCTTTTTTTTTTTTTTGTTAAAGATTTATTTATTTATTTGAAAGTCAGAGTTAGATCTTTCATCCACTGATTTACTTCCCAGATGACTGCAACAGCCACGGCTGGGCCAGGCCACAGCCAGGAATTAGGAGCTTTTTCCACATCTCCCACAGGGGTGGCCGAAGCCCAAGTATTTGGACGATCCTCTGCTGCTTTTCCTAGGCCATTAGCAGGGAGGTGGATTGGAAGTGGCCAGGACATGAACCAGTTCCTATATGGGATGCTGGCGTTGCAGGCGGCAGCGTTACCCATTACACCACTACGCTGGCCCCTGACCATTCTATAAGTGTGAGATGATTTACACCAGTGGCACTGTATTTTCAGCTGGAAATCCCCAATATTAGACTAAACTAAAAAAAATTTCAACTAAAAGACTTCTTCAAATATATATAATTTATTAAGAAGCACGTTTAAGATATCTACATAAAGAAGGAGAGGTAAGGCCGGCGCCATGGTTCACTAGGCTAATCCTCCACCTGCGGCGCCGGCACCCTGGGTTCTAGTCCTGGTCGGGGCACCGGATTCTGTCCTGGTTGCCCCTCTTCCAGGCCAGCTCTCTGCTGTGGCCCGGGAGTGCAGTGGAGGATGGCCCAAGTCCTTGGGCCCTGTACCTGCATGGGAGACCAGGAGAAGCACCTGGCTCCTGGCTTCGGATCAGCGCGGTGCGCCGGCTGCATCAACCATTGGAGGGTGAACCAATGGTAAAGGAAGACCTTTCTCCCTGTGTCTCTCACTGTCCACTCTGCCTGTCAAAAAAAAAAAAAAAAGAAGAAGAAGAAGGAGAGGTAATGATGTTGAAGCAGCCACAGTCAGTCAGGAAGAGGCTGATCCAATCTCTTTATTCAGAAATACGGGAGTTGAGGAAGAATGAATAGCAAACTTTGGAGAGGGTTGCAGAGGAGACAGCACTTTCTGTGGAGGGCCAAGTTTCAAGATAGATCTAAAGCATGTACAGGGTGGGTTGAACAGTTCAGCCATCTGAGGCCAGAATGACTGCTCCAAGAACCCTCATGAAGAGCTTCTAGGGTAGCAGCAAGAGTATGAACCTGTCGACCAGGAATTAATGGAGCCCAGCCTTGACTGGGTTCCAAGGAAATCATTAACAGGTTGGCAGATTAGAAACAGACCAAATAGTGTCTTACATCTGTATCATATAATTACAAAAATAGATTCTGGCAGATTTGGGGGACTACCTTGTGTGAAGTTACTCACAGCCTTACCTGATCTTAAAAACTTAATTCACTGGGGTTATTAATTTTCAATGCCATGTTAGGCAAGAGTTTTATTATACAAGGGGCCAAAATTAAGACAGTAAACAGCATGGGCTATAGATATAATTCACAGCTGATTAAAGAACCTTTTATGGGGCAGGCATTTGGTACAGTGGTCAAGTTTCTGCTTGGGACATCTGCATCCCATTTTCAAGTGCCTGGTTCAAGTCTCTGCTTCTCTACTTCCAATCCAGCTTCCTGCTAATGTCCATCTTGGGAGGCAGATGTTGCCTCAAGTAGTTGGGTCCCTGCCAACCATACAGGAGACCCAATGGTGTTCCAGGCTTCTGTCCTCAAATTTTTCTAGCCCTGTTGTTAAAGGCACTGGGGAGTGAACTAGCAGATCTCCTTCACTCCCCAGTGATCTCTCCTCTCTCAGCCTTTCAAATAAAAGGAAAATAAATAAATAAAAATTTTAAAAATAAAGAATAATTTATAAGTAATTTTTAATTGTTCTGTACTATAGTTTCATATTTTAAAAAAACTGCTTATGGTAATGTCTGACTCCCTTTTGTTATCACAAGCAAGTAAGATAACTTCGGAACAAAGTAGTAAAAAACAGAAGCTATTAAATATAACTGCAAAACTAGAAAATCTTCCTAAGAAAACTGCAGTTGACAACCTAACATAGATAGCTAACAAAGATAATTTAGAATTTATTATTTTAAGACTTGGTAAATGTTTAAAAATAAGTTTAAAGTACTTTGTAATAAAGACAAACTAGTCTTGAGAATTAGAACTTTCAAGTTAATCAATCATATTCAACCTCATTAGTAGCCTAAAAAATACAAATTAAAAAGATCATTTTCTTTATCTGATTAGCAAAAAATTTTAAAGAGCAATAGTGCTTAGAGTTGAAAAGTGTAGTGTTCATTTCTCTAAACAATACGTAGGTCAATACACTAGTATAATTTTTTAGAGAGAAATTTGACTATATTTATATAGACATAAGTGTATCTATTTTTCAGTTTCACAATTCCATTCACAGCATTTGACTTATCAAAACACTCTTAAAAGTCACTGTCATATTTAGATGAGAAATATATGCAAAACACACCATAATTTGTTTTAATCTGAAATTCAACAGAAAACCATGTTAATTTTTTTGAGCAAAAGGTATTCTTCAATATAAATAAAATTGGGAAAATGTTTTATGCTTCTGTATCAAGTCTCGGAAATACATATTAAAGGGAAAAGGTTTTTGAAAAAATAGGTAGGAAATTCTTAGGAAAAAAAAAAGAGCACTAACCCTTTCATAAATGTCTTTGAAACCACTTAGGATTGGCACCTACATATGAGTCTGAAAAATAACTTTGCAGTTAGTATAAAATAAACATATGCTACTATGTAGTAAGAGATGCAATTAACAACTAAAATGACAGACACTTAATGAGACATTCATTAGGCGTTAGGAGTAAATTGAATGTAGAAAACTTACATTCCACATCAAAACTGTATCTATTTACTTCAATATTCTTTCTGATCTCTGAAATTGTGACTAGACCCCTATACATGTTTACATATGCCAATAATGTCCAAAATGTAATTTTTAATATGCTGCAAGTAACAGAAATGACTTCTAAATTTAGAGAGTGAGCTAATAAAGACAAGTGTATTTGAAGTATTAGGTGATTTGTGAGACTGGCATTTGTGGCACACTTGATTCAGCTGCCACTTGTAATACCAGCATTCAGTAAGAGTATTGATTCTGAATCCTGGGTACTCTGCTTCTGATCCAGCTCCTTGCTAATACACCTGGCAGGCAGTGGAAGATTGCCCAAGTGCTTGGTTCTCTGCTACCTACATGTAGACTCGAACAGATTTCTGGCTCCTAGCCTCAGCCTAGCCTAGACCTAGCAGCCGCGGTCATTTGGGAAGTGAATCAATGGACAGAAGAGCTCTCTCTCTTCCTTTGTCTGTTGCTCTACCTTTCAAAAAAATAAAGCAAAAAAAGTATTAGGTGACATGTCCTTCTTGCCGAAGATATCAGCAAGAACCATCAAAAAGCAGCATAAAGAGACTGGCACTATGGCTCAGCAGGTTAAAGTCGTGGCCTGCAGTGCCGGCATCCCAATAGGGGTGCGGGTTCAAGCCCTGGTTGCTTCTGATATAGCTCCATGCTAATGCACCTGGGAAAGCAGCAGAAGATGGCTCAAGTCTTTGGGCCCTGAACCCACATGGGAGACCCAGAAAAGCTCCTGGCTCCTGGTTTTGCAGCTGTGACCATTTGGGGAGTGAACCAGCAGATGGAAGATCTCTCTGTCTCTCCTCTCTGTGTGTAATTCTGCCTTTCATATAATAAATAAACCTTAAAAAAAAAAAGCAGCATAAAATCAGGTCTCATATGAGCACATGTATACAACTGGTTAAGTGTGCATATGTTCATTTAAATATACATTACTATGTACATAAATTTACATGTTACTATATATTTCTTTGATTTCAACCTTTACTTGGCAAGCATCATCAAGTACAGGGGTTAGCATGGATTTAAAATACCTGATGCTGCCTCGTGATGAACCACTTAGTAGGAATTTCATCTTGAGAACGCTCTGCATTTTCAGTGGACATGCTTTTATACAGTGCCGAGTAAACCTTCCTGTTGGTAGGCTGACTGATACAGACTGGAACACAGCCTCCAAACCCTGACAAATTAGTTATATGCAGGATACTCACATCAGCATAGTGGCCCAACATATCACATCGGTCACATCTTTTTTTCCAGGAAGATCTCTGAAGACATCTGTGAGTGGAAGACATAGGCAAAGAACAGTCTAAACAAAAGCGGGCCGGACAGGCATACTGGAGGTGTCCTCTCTCCGAGCACAGGCAGCAGGGACGGACTTTCTACACAGCAGAAAAACAGAAAAATCTCTAGCAAAACACTTCAGTCCCAGGTGGTAGATGATTAGCATTTCCTCTTCTAAATAATTCAATAAAATATCATTTCTAATTCAAGACTCCAAAGAAAGCTAAAACTTAGCATAACTGTAAATCTCAAAACAAAATGTTTGAAATTGGAGCTTTAATATGAGTTACCTGTATATTGTTTGTGCCAAGAAGGCTTACTTTAGTTTGCACACATTACCAAATGGCATTATTTCTTACACTTTTGTCTTAAAGGAATATTGACAAAATGGAAGGTATTTAAGAAGGAAAGTAGGACAAGGAATATCTTTGTGAAGCTGTCACAGAACAAATATAGAAGAGGCTGTTTTGCCTGGAAAAGTCCCCCTCGCCCCCAGAAAAAAGGAAACATGAGTACTGTCTCAGCACCTGAAAGACAGTCATTTGTGAGAGGAAGCAGGTAACTAAGCAATGTTTGTTAAGAGCTTATCAAATGTCAGGGAATATCTAAGTTTTAGTTCTAGGTTGATATACCTACTTAACATAATTTACATTGATAAACATTTATAAATGCCTAGCATTATAATTTTCTAACAATGAAAATTATCCTACAATGAAACATGCTGCCTCATAAAGTAGAAGGTTTAGAAGGTTCAGGCCTCAGGAATCATGACTGATTATAGATAAGAAAAAAAAAGGCACAGAGCATCACATGATTCAATCAAGGTCACACAACTAGTAATGGAGTCTGAAGTTGATTCTAGATTTTTTTTTTACTCTAAATTTACTTTTCTTTCCTGAATTGTAGGCTGTAAGCTACATGAACTTTAACAATATATTTATCACAAAAAGATCTGAAATCTAATGCTGCAGTATTCTAATCCCAGATTTATAATGTAGAAAGCATTACATATTTTACTCACTTGTGGTAAGGGGCAATTTTTTGACAAATGGCCACATTTGTCACAATTTCTACAGGTAACATTTTTGTTGGCTGAATAGTATCGGTGGGTCCATCTTCCAGATGATCTGTTATTACCTATCTGTGCCTAAAAGGAGAAAAACATCAAGAATCAAAAAAACTGCCTCAGGGTCGGCACTATGGCATAGTTAGGATAAAGCCATTGCCTGCAGTGCCCGCATCCCATATGGGCGCTGGTTCAAGTCCCAGCTGCTCCTCTTCCAATCCAGCTCCCTGCTAATGCTCCTGGGAAAGCAGTGGAAAACAGCCCAAGTGCTTGGGCTCTTGCACCCACGTAGAAGACCAGGAAGAAGCTCCTGGCTCCTGGCTTTGGATTGGCACATCTTCAGCCATTGTGGCCATTTGGGGAGTTAACCAGCAGATAGAAGATCTCTCTCTGTGTCTCTACCTCTTTCTGTAACTCTGTCTTTCAAATAAATAAAATAAATTTTTAATAAAATTGTCTCATTCTGTTTAGTAAAAAAGTCATCTATTCTTTTTAAAGACAACAATCTGTGAGTAAAGAATCATCAAACTTCAAGTCAGTCGCCCTTACTTTGATAAAGCAAGAAATTTTTTTTTTTTGGACAGGCAGAGTGGACAGTGAGAGAGAGAGAGAGAGACACAGAGAAAGGTCTTCCTTTGCCGTTGGCGCACCCTCCAACGGCCACCACGGCCGGCGCGCCGTGCTGATCCAAAGCCAGGAACCAGGTGCTTCTCCTGGTCTCCCATGCGGGTACAGGGCCCAAGGACTTGGGCCATCCTCCACTGCACTCCTGGGCCATAGCAGAGAGCTGGCCTGGAAGAGGAGCAACTGGGACAGAACCGTTGCCCCGACCAGGACTAGAACCTGGGGTGCTGGCACCGCAGGCGGAGGATTAGCCTAGTGAGCCGCGGCACCGGCCAATAAAGCAAGAAAATTAAAGTCAAATCTGTTCAATTTAGAACATAGCAACAACAAACTTTGTGCTCCCTCTTTTTCTCTCAAAACAAGGAAGAAAAATATAAAAGTGAGTGCCTTAAAGATAACTGTACCCCTTTTTGTCTACCCCTACTGCCTATTATTTTATATTTCTCTGTAAGATTCCTTTTCTGTTTCTTTTTCTACCTACGGTTAAGGTCTAGGAGAGGTACTGATATGCATCATTTAGATATTCTGGTGGCATTCAGAATCCAAGACTTCTACACCTAAATGTACATCAGAGGTAGATGCTTGGTGCAGCACTTAAGAAGCTGCCTTGGGATGTTTGCATCCCATGTCAGAATGCCCAGGTTCAAGTCCTGCCTCCATTTCTGATTCCAGCTTCCTGCTGCTGTACACTCTGGGAGGTAGCAGGTAATGGCTCAAGAACTTGGGTCCCTGCCACTCACAGTGGAGACCAGGATTGAGTTTAGGGCTCCTAGCTTCTGCTTAGCTCAATGCCAACTGTTGCAGGCATTTGGGAGTGAACCAAAGGATGGAAGATTTCTCTTTGTCTCTTTTTGCCCACCTTTCAGATAAATAAAAATGAAAAATAAAATAAAAATTTTGAAGGTACACTCATATTTTCCTGAATAAGAGGCCTGCTTAAATTTTTAGTTAGGGAATAGCAATTTATAAAATTTTATCTTTTATAAATTTATAAAGCCTCATAGCTACCAAATATATCTCTTCTTTTGTACAGCACAAGGTTACAAAATTGGATTATAATTTCTAAAAGAAAGTGAAATAACTTCCTTCTCCTGAAGTCATTTTTTTTAAACGATTTATTTATTTGAAAGACAGAGTTACACAGAGAAGTAGAGACAGAGAGAGGTCTTCCATCCATTGACTCACTCCCTAGGCCACAACAGCTGGGGCTGGGCCCGACTGAAGCCAGGAGTCAGGAGCTTCTTCCAGGTCTCCCACATAGGTGCAGGGGCCCAAGGACTTGGGCCGTCCTCTGATGCCCTCCCAGGTGCATTAGCAGGGAGCTGGACTGGAAGCAGAGCAGCTAGAACTGGAACGGGCGCCCATATGGGATGCCCACTGTGGCATAGTGCCAGTCCCTCCTGGAGTCACTGTTAAGATCCATTTTGCCTACATAGTGACCCAATGCTAGCTGTCCCATATCACATGAGATCTTTAAAATAAATAGATAAATAAATCCCAACTGTGTCCTTTTCCTTGTTTGGCAGAGTTCTATCTTTGAAAAGCTCTCAACTTTTGCTTGTTATTCTGCTGTACTTGTTTAGTAGATACACTGCAGTTATCTTTTAAAACTTCTACCAAGTTGTAAAATTATTTTTTATAGCATCTGCCACAATTAAAGCTAATAATTGACAAAGACAAACACCTGCAGCATTCTAAATATAGACAAACCATTTCCTTACACTGAAGAAGCAGTTATTTCCGGTGGTAACATTTAGTGGTACCAGGCCACATCGGCTGACAGGACTTACCATGGCATAGAAGAAGAAAGGGAAAGGCAACTAAATTATCATGGCTATTAACTGATTCAGAACAGTCAAGGCTGAATCTAGTTTCTGAAAAGTTAAATTACTCATATTCCAAAATCAAGCTTCTCCTAATAAGTCATTTGATCCACTGCCATTTAAAAGATTTTAATTTTTAAAGATTTATTTATTTATTTATTTATTTATTTGTAAGGCAAAGTTAGAGAGTTAGAGGGAGAGAGGGAAGGAGAGAGAGAGAGAGAGAGAGAGAAAGAGAGAGAGAGAGAGGTAGGTTTTCCAACTGCTGGTTCATTCCCCACAAGGCCGAAATAGCAGGAGCTGGGACCATCTGAAGCCAGGAGCCAGGAGCTTTTTCCAGGTCTCCCACATGGGCACAGGGGCCCAAGACCTGGACATCCTCTGCTGCCTTTCCAAGCACATTAGCAGGGAGCTGGATTGGAAGCAGAGCAGCCAGGACCTGAACTGGCACCCATATAGGACACTGGCACTGCAGGTAGCAGCTTTACCCACTACACCACAGTGCCAGACCCATTTACAAACTTTATTAATCTTCCAAAAATTATCATTATAAAATAAAAGGAAGCTATTAATCAAAGGAAATTCTTAATCTATTACTTAGAATTTCAAAAATTATTTTACCTCAATATCTTTGTCACTGATGAACCAGTTTACACCATCTTCTCCTATAAAACAAATACAATGTTACTCAACTTTGGCATCTTTAAAGCACTTATAGATTGACACCAGATTATTCAATTGGTTAGTATTCAAATTAGACCCCAAAGGCACAGTGAGAACTGCTGTCTTAAACTTTCATCTTTAACTCAAGTATTAGTTGAGTGGCTCTCAACAACCAACCTGAATGTCAGTTTCCTTACCTGTGAAACTGGGATAGTATTTGTTCTACCTAAAAAATTCTGTGAGAATCAAATGAGATACATAAAAATGCTTTGAAGATCATCAAAATATATAAAATAATCAGTGATGAGACTTAAAACCCAATAGCAGATGTAGAAAGAACTCTCATCAGAATGTTGCTTAAATGACTAAAGCAGAGTTTTACAGACAAGCATTGATCCCAACCCTCCCCAAACCCCTCCTGTTCCTTCCAGGAGGTGTCCAGTCAGGGAAATGACTGAGTTTGCACTGAGACATTCCAAAAACACTAGAAACAGGCCTTACACGGACATTCCCTCTGACTCTCTAAACTTTCTTTTTGTTGTTAAGTTGGCATCTAAGCCACTACCTCTCTACCCTCTACCCTCTTTAGCAAGTTTCATATTACTGAGTGCTCCTGAGTGGACAAACCTTTCTTTTCTCCAGTTAAACTGTCCATTGTCAGTTAACTCCGAGCCCTAGGGATCTAAGTTGACAGATCTAAGAGACAGTTTTCCTCCCAACATCAGCATTAACTATGTCCACTCTAAGTGACTTGATATAAACAATAAAAAAAAACGTGGACTGCACTATTAAGGGTAGGAGCTTATTTTTTTTAACATCAAAAACAGTGAAAAAACAGGAGCAAAAAGGGAGGCAAACTATCCAGAAACCACTGATTAATCTAAAAATACAACTGTAAAAACCTAGAGGCAACAAAACCCTACATTTTCTGTATCAGCAGTTTTCTTCACTTTGCCCTGTCCTTTCACACAAACCTGCAATGGCTGCTATTCCCTCAGTCTACCCATGGCCAAGGAGGAGGGCACTTATGACTAATGCCGAAGCTAAGGTGTCAACAAAGAACTGAAAGACTGACTGCCCCCAAGATTCCCCGTTCCTCCTACCTTACTACTTTCCTCTATCTCAAAAACACAAATTGACTCTGACTTATTTCTTTGAAAAGAATTTTGAAGAGACATGAAGTAATCTCTATTTTCCCAGGCCTACCAGGAGTAAGTGTCCAGAGACATATTTAAAAATAAAATAGTTTTACTAGAAAAACATGGTGCTGCTTTATAAAAAGCCCAATCCTTAGGAAAGCAGAGATGCTGTGCTGATGATTATTTTCTTTGGAAAATCTGGAGGCTGCATGTGTACACTGAGTGGAGAACACATTAAATAGAAGCAGAATCTATTCCTTCGTCATCACCGTCCATGCAGTTATTCTTTCATTCAAAGAATCCAGGTAAGGAACATGTTTTGCTATAACTTGCAAAGTTGCCTCTTGCATCTCAACTTCCTTCAACATTCAAAAGCAAAATGATCACTTGAAATCACTTTAATTATGAAACTGAATAAAAATACTCCTTAATAAAATGAAATGTCAAATGAATGAAATGCAAAAATAGCAACTGTGACCATTACTTAAGTCCTAATAAATTTATACAAGAACAGAGAATACTGCAAAGGGAAGGTTTGAAAAAGAAAGACTCCATTTAGATTGTTTTTTTAACATTCCTGTGGAATTCAACAATATTCTAGGTTCTATATAATTGCAAAAAAGTTAAACCATTCTTACTGTAGAAAGTTCATTAAAAAGTATACAAAATAGGTTTCAATTATATGCAAAATAAGTACCTCTGAAGTGATAAATGAAGTATAGGAAAAGAAAAGCTAACTCTTGGCTTTACTACAAGGTTTAAGATTCCAGTTTTGGCTAAACCATGGCAATGACAGCAGACTGCCTGACCTTTTTCTATAATGCTGCTGTTATCTAAACTCCAATATCAAACCAAGTAGACTTGTCTAGCTGGGTTATTAGAACTTCCACCATTCTTCACTTGGTTCAATTCTGGGTTTGGATCTTAAATACAAACAAGACTTCTACTTAACACCGTCTGATTGGCTGTTTGGTGTTGGACAGACTGCTTTTCCTCTCTGAGTCTACATATTACTGGGTAGGATTAAATGGCAACCATGGTGCCTTCTAGCACTGTTTCTGTGACTCTATCTACTTTCCTTTCATTGCTGGAATCAAATACACTGTCACTTAGTCCGATTTACCTCAGTCCTCCGGACCTTTAAACCAGCACATGGTGTTTTGCCTTAAAGACAACTTGCCACAGGGCCCGGTAGCACTCACCTTCCATGTGTCTACTACCCAAAAGGCCACAGAACGTGAAACAACACTGCCCTCAAGTATAAAATCCAGACTGCCTAAGGAAGCCTGTCGTCGCCTCTTAGCTGTTTTGCAGCTTGGTCTTGCTGATATCTGGGGTTGTGGTTCTTTTCCCACTTCAGAACTGTGATCAAGGCAGTAGCTGGTAATTCTTTCCTTGGATTAAAATCAACTCAGTGCTACAAACATCTGTTAAACAGATTACAAGGAGCAAGGTGCTAGAGGTAAGCAAAGATGAGCAAGAGCTTATATAGCCCAGGAGAAGACAAGGAGACAAACGAAAAGAGGAGTAAGAGAAGATGAAATAATGCTATTGTTAATTTAAAAGAAGAGATAATACCTGAATTTAAGGAAGGGGGGAGCAGGGGCCACAGAAGGCTGGGCCATAAAGGAAACTATTGAGTTACAATTTACATACAGTAAAATGTACCCACAGAAAAAATTCAGTGTGATGCATTTTTGACAAACTTACGCACCTGTGTAACCACTACAGAAATCAAATGTAGAACATTTCCATCATCCCAGGGTGTTACTTGGTGCACATGTGCAGTCAGTCCCACACCCAAGGCGGCCACTCCTTTGCTCTGTGTCCCAGCACGTTTGTTTGGCCTGTTCAAGGACCTGAAGGAAATGGGATCCTACTCATGTACCGTTTTGTGTCTGGCTTCTTCCACTCTAAATGTTTCTGACATTCATCATGTTGTCGGGTAGTAGTTGTTCCTTTTTTCTTACACAGCAGTCTTCCATAGTAAGGATATAGCACAATTTGTTTAGCCAGTTAGCTGCTGAACTTTTGGGTTGTTGCCAGTTTAGGGCAATTATGAATAAAGCAGCAACAGTAAGTGTAGAAAAAAATTATTTTGATACCAGCTTTTCATTTCTCTTGGGAAAATACCACGGAGTACAGTTGTTGGATATGGTAAGTATATCTCTGCCTTTAGATGACACTGGCAGGGCTAGTGGTTCACTCCCCAAATGACCATAATGGCTAGAGCTGGGCCAGGCTGAAGCTAGGAGCCTAAAACTCCATCTAGGTCTCCCACATGGGTGGCAGGGGCCCAGACACTTGGTCCATTTTCTGCTGCCTTCCCAGGTGCATTAGCAGGGAGCCGAATATGTAGTGGAACAGTCCAGACTCCAGCCAGTACTCATCCATTGCAGTGGAAGGCTTAATTAGCTGCGCTACAACACTGGCAAATGTTCAGCTACTACCCGACAACATGATGAATGTCAGAAACATTTAGAGTGGAAGAAGCCAGACACAAAACGGTACATGAGTAGGATCCCATTTCCTTCAGGTCCTTGAACAGGCCAAACAAACGTGCTGGGACACAGAGCAAAGGAGTGGCCGCCTTGGGTGTGGGACTGACTGCACATGTGCACCAAGTAACACCCTGGGATGATGGAAATGTTCTACATTTGATTTCTGTAGTGGTTACACAGGTGCGTAAGTTTGTCAAAAATGCATCACACTGAATTTTTTCTGTGGGTACATTTTACTGTATGTAAATTGTAACTCAATAGTTTCCTTTATGGCCCAGCCTTCTGTGGCCCCTGCTCCCCCCTTCCTTAAATTCAGGTATTATCTCTTCTTTTAAATTAACAATAGCATTATTTCATCTTCTCTTACTCCTCTTTTCGTTTGTCTCCTTGTCTTCTCCTGGGCTATATAAGCTCTTGCTCATCTTTGCTTACCTCTAGCACCTTGCTCCTTGTAATCTGTTTAACAGATGTTTGTAGCACTGAGTTGATTTTAATCCAAGGAAAGAATTACCAGCTACTGCCTTGATCACAGTTCTGAAGTGGGAAAAGAACCACAACCCCAGATATCAGCAAGACCAAGCTGCAAAACAGCTAAGAGGCGACGACAGGCTTCCTTAGGCAGTCTGGATTTTATACTTGAGGGCAGTGTTGTTTCACGTTCTGTGGCCTTTTGGGTAGTAGACACATGGAAGGTGAGTGCTACCGGGCCCTGTGGCAAGTTGTCTTTAAGGCAAAACACCATGTGCTGGTTTAAAGGTCCGGAGGACTGAGGTAAATCGGACTAAGTGACAGTGTATTTGATTCCAGCAATGAAAGGAAAGTAGATAGAGTCACAGAAACAGTGCTAGAAGGCACCATGGTTGCCATTTAATCCTACCCAGTAATATGTAGACTCAGAGAGGAAAAGCAGTCTGTCCAACACCAAACAGCCAATCAGACGGTGTTAAGTAGAAGTCTTGTTTGTATCAAGACCCAAAATAGCTTCAATGTCCTTTCTTTAACCCAAGGCTATTTAATTTCCCATCTAGGTTAAAATAATTTTTGCTGTCTCTATGATCACCAACTACTTTCCATTCCACTGTTATTTGAGTAATAGTTCTAAAACACAAGATAAATATGCCAGTGCCTTCCATGATTTATAATTTGGTCCTTAACTATTTCTCTTGCTTCATCTTCTTAGTCCTCAAGTCCAGCTATGCTCTAAAACTTCTCCAATGTCCTGCTGTTCTCTTGGAAGCTAAACCTGTATCTGTATACTCTGAAACTTGAATGCATCCCAAATTCATCCACTTGGAATTAGGAGTTGGCCTTCAAGTTCCTTATTGTCTCCATTGATTTCTTACCTGGTACTCCTTCACAAGCAAAGAAAATCACTCTCAAACTTGTAATAATATCCTGGACTTTCACTGTGTCATTTCTATCTTTGAATCTCTGAAACATCAAAGCATGGTTGCATACTTACCATGGGCAATTATGTTCATCGAGACAATTAACAACATTTACAACTGTGTGATTTCCTTCTATAGAAGTATTTTCTCCCTGCGCAGTTATAGTCCAAAAGTACCTTATTTGTATCTCTCACGCTACTGAGCTTTCCTAAACCTTGTATAAAAAACTACACTAATAAATACTTTATTTCTTCTCCACATTAAAGTTCTCTGAGGACTGAGATCATATGTATTTTATCTATTTAGGCATCAGCACAATATCTGGAATAGTTTGAGGCACATTAGAAAATTGCAAAAAGAGGGAAAATATTCATATGTACACTTATGTGAATAATCATTGCTCCATCAGAGCACATAAGGCAATAGATAATTTAATCAATGACTGTTGCATAGTAAAAGGTCATTAAGATAGTTCTTTATGGTTAGGGAAAAAACTTAGGAAATTTTATAGTAAATAAGAAGCAAAAAGGACTTAAAAAACCTCCACACTATTGTTGAGTAATACTGGCAAACATAAGATCACATGAAGTATACTATAACTACACATTTGTAAACAATCATGCCTGTACCCAGCCAGTGTTTATGGATTACAAAGCTGCCTGATATTTATGCCATACCCTTTCCTCAGCCTAACACCATGACATCAGAGTCCCCTCTGGGATCTTCTCACTTCTAATAAGCAACTGAACTAGCCTCAAATGAAGTTACTATTCTCAACTTCATCAGCAGCATCTGTTATTTCAACGGTGACTTCTGAAACACATACAATGCCACATTCAAATCCCCTGAGGGTTAAGCTACTTTATTCACTTGCATTCTTCTCAAGCTGTTTTTTTTTTTCTGTCATAGTTTACTCATATTTATATTTTTTCATTGTAATACCGGGCATAAAACTGTTTTAGTAATGAAAACTTTGTACTGTATAACTGGCAATAGTCTAAATAAAATAAATTTTAATAGAAGAATTTGCAAGTAAAGCATCAACATATTCATGCCATTTTAAATCATATTAAATTTACCAGAAACGACTTTTATTTTTAAAATGTGTGTAAATGATAAATGGGGATTTAACTTTTCTTTTTTTAGAGGTAAAGGAGGAAGAAGAAAGAGGAAACACATACAGGTGTTTAGCACAGGGTTCTATGGAACTCTTGCAAAGAGTTCATATTTAAGATCTTTATCTGTCCTCTCTTCCTCTGTCCCCAGGGTTCAATGAACTACCGAGTTAAAAAAAATATTTATTTAGAAAATTTTTAAAAGACCCTCAAATCATATCAAGGACCAATAGACAGTGATCAACAGAAACAATCAATACAATGGATCGTGGGTTTTCTTTTCTTATTTATTTATTGATGTATTTGAGAAGGAGGAAGGGAATGGGAAGGGGAGAGGGAGAGAAGGTGGAAGGGAAGGTGGGAGAGCAAGCACACGTGAATGAGCTAGTGAGAACTCAAGTCTCTGGCTGGGTCCCTAAATGCTGCAATGGCCCCCAGGCAAGGGCATCTTAAACTGTAGGCTAACTGCCCAGCACAGGGGAGTTACTTTTCTTTTAAACGAATATTTCATGGATGCCTATTCCCTACCTCCAACCCCCCATCAAAAGCAAAACAGAAAATAGTTCATATGAAAATTTAAAATATTTTAAAAATAACAAGCACAAATAAACAGTCAAATCTCATCAAGAGGTCACTTTTGAAATAAGTCACTCTGAAACAATTTGCTTTTGTTATCATTTTTGGGGTCAGATTTGCTTTGATTTTCTCTCTGCAGATCTTACATCAAAAAGGTTCAGGCTCACATCTGTAATTGCTTATATGATATATAACAAATGTTTGTATTACAGTCTTTGCAAGGGTAAGATATCTCAAAAAAAATTTATCTATGTAATTCCACTTAAAAACAAGGTAAAAATACCCTCTCCTCTGTTATTAATGGCTCAAAACATAGTTTACTTTCCTTTTTAACCTAATGTTTCATTTCCAATATTCAGTCAGTCTTACAATTCCATAGTGTACTTGTTTAAAATGTCTTTCTAAACAAATACTTGGGTTTCCCTGCGCCTTCAACTTCATTTGATACATACACGTAGATATTGTCTTTAAATTAAAAGCTTCATGTTTTAGTATTAATTTTATCAAGGTAATACGTGCTCATGGAAATATTACATACTAGAAAAAATAGAAGTTTCCCCTTCCCATTTCACCTTGTACTATGAAGAGGCAATTACTTTCAATTTTTTAGCTATTTCTCTTGATTTTTCTAAATAACGTTCATTCTGCTATTTACTGATGTGTCTATTTCAAACTTTAATATCTAAATCCCCAATAAAGTAAAAGACTTAGTTCTAACACTCTGACTGGATTTCTTTTCCTTCTATTCTCTACTCTTAGGTTAAATTAATATTCAGTTTATTTTGGAATGGATTTTTTTTTTAAATTGAGATAAGAAATGAACTCAATTTATGACTATGTGGTAGTATACTGTTTCCCTTCTTAGTTTAGTTTTCCCGAATGCATCTTAGTTTTCCTGAATTTAATGACAGTTTAATTGTTTCATTTACTTGACCAGAAAAGTCTATTTAAACCATGCCAGCCATTAGCATTCATCTCCCTGAAAGGCCAAATATTAGTCATCTTAGTATCAAGAGCCTTTGAATTATACATTTGCCACATTATAAGAGAAATAACAGTTATCACCATTAATTATCTGGGTTCAAAGTACTCTTTTTTTTTGAAATATTTATTCTATTTATTTGAAAGACAAGAGTTATAGAAAGAGGTAGAGACACAGAGAGTGGTCTTCCATCATGCACTGGTTCACTCCCAAGATGGCCGCAACGGCTGGAGCTGGGTCGATCCAAACCCAGGAGCCAGGAGCTTCCTCCGGGTCTCCCACGTGGGCGCAGGGGCCCAAGGACTTGGGCGTTCTTCTTCTTCTTCTTTTTAATTTATTTGACAGGCAGAATTATAAACAGTGAGAGAAAGACAAAGAGAAAGGTCCTCCCTCCCTCCATTGGTTCACTCCCCAAATGGCTGCCATGGCCAGAGCTGTTCCGATCTGAAGCCAGGAACCAGGAGCCTCCTCCAGGTCTCCCAAGTGGGTGCAGGGGCCCTTCTGGGCCACAGCAGAGAGCTGGACTGGAAGAGGAACAACCGGAACTAGAACCGGTGCCCACATGGGATGCTGGCGCCGCAGGCAGAGGATTAACCAAGTGAGCCAAAGCGCTGGTCCCTTGGGCCATCTTCTACTACTTTCCCAGGCCATAGGAGAGAGCAGGATCGGAAGAAGAGCAGCCAGGACTAGAACTGGCACTAGAACTGGGATGCCGGCCCTTCAGGCCAAGGTGTTAATCCACTGCGCCACAGTGCTGGCCCCTCAATATACTCTTTTAATAATTTAAGTCATTTTATAAACAACTTATAGAATAAAAGAGATAATGAAAAATAATTTCATCAGGAACCTTAAGAACTTAAACATAAGGAATTCAAATTTTTATTCCACATGCTCTTATTTTCAAAACTAAATATACTTGAAATTGACATTCTGGAATGCAACTAATTGTTCACCAATTGTCATGCATGAACTTTAATAACTCCACATTTGCAAATATTTGTAACAGATTTCAACTATATCTCCTTCTTGCTCCATAACTGTAAAACATTTTCTTTTATATTTATAAAACATCCATCAGAACGATCAAGCTAAAATTTTTTTTCATTTCTGTATCTTCTATTTTTCTTTGAATGATTTCTGTACAGATGTCTTCAGCATTTGTCTACTTGATACAAACCATATCAAGCGAATTTTGGCATCGAAATATCATAAAATGTGAAAGAATACAGTCATACATCCTTTATCAAAGATGTACTGTCCAGATTTTGTCACAATTACTTCCTGATACACAACTTTCTGTTGATTGACTAGATTAAAAATCTCTTACTAGGCCCTGCTCCCCATGGGAGACCAGGAAAAGCACCTGGATCCTGACTCCTGCCATCGGATCAGCGCGGTGTGCCGGCTGCAGCAGTGACCATTGGAGGGTGAACCAACGGCAAAAGGAAGACCTTTCTCTCTCTCTCTCTCTCACTGTCCACTCTGCCTGTCAAAAAAAAAAAAAAAAAAAAAAAATCTCTTACTAGGGGCTAGTGCTGTGTGGCAGCAGGTTAAAGACCTGGCCTAAAGCGCCAGCATCCCATATGGGTTCCGGTTCTAGTCCCGGCTGCTCCTCTTTCAATCCAGCTCTC